ACCCTGTCAATCAAACCCTGAACCCTAAAACCCCCCAACCTTACAGCCCGAAACCCAAATCCTTAAATCCAATCCCTGAACTCCCTAAACGTTAAATCCGCCAAACCCTAAACTCTGAAGCCCTAAACCCCCCAAACCCTAAAGCTCTCGCCTCAACGACTGCATGGGTGGCAAGCCGAGCTTCGAGCTGCTCCGAAGTTGTCTCCTTCTTCTCACGCACCTCGGCAGGGTTGCTCCCTAAACCCTAAACCCTAAAATTGCTCTCTCTTAATATGAACCAGAGGACCCGAAAGTTATAACGGTGCTTTGGTTGTAGTAGTCCCACCTGGTTAAGACTGGCTGAATTTCTAAACCACTGAAAGGGTTCATAAGTTTATAGGGTCTACTATATATACGACGGTTTAGGGAAATTGAGTCACGCGAAGAGAAATCTACTGCCTTGCTGAAAACTGGAGGCTTGTTGGTACCTGTAGCTTCCATTACGTGGGGCTTCTTTGGGGGCCTGGGCTAAAGCCATTCGAAAAGCTTGAACTGAGGCCATGATTGGGACTACTTTCTCTACTGAATGCTTCTAGAAGGCTTATAATTCCAGAACCTTCAGCTAGGCCATCTGTGGGAATGCTTGCTGTGCATTTTCCCCTGTCCAGAACCTGAGGTATCGCGACTTTGGGGCTAGGTCCCTTAAACAGTCGTGTTCCCAAAGCCTGAAGTAGGGCGATTTCGAGCTTTTCCTGTAGACTTTCGAAATCCACCCTACACCCTAAACCCCAAACTTTAAACCCTTCACCCTAAACCCTAAACCGACATGTTTGGGACACTTTGGTATTGGAGCAATTTAAATGTAGAGCACCATTTGGGGAGAGGGTCGGGTAAGGCTGTTGCAATTTGCGCGCATCAATAGCTCAAGCTTTGAACTGTGCATGAGAGGTGTCTTCCACTATGGGCTATTAGACCTTCAGGGTACCTCAATCTACCCTTAATAGGGTCCTAATAGGGAATTTTAGGGTCTGATGGCCCATGGTGGTTCTATGGGATGTATTTTTTTCGTTAAGTCAGACTGAAGGAGCATTGAGCCCAAAACAGTCCAAAATAGGCAAGTTGAGAGGGCTCCGGGGTCTCTGGCCTGAGGCCTAAACACTAAACCCGCATGGGGAGAAATTCGACCCTACGCGACTGCACGTGCGGTTCATCTGAAGCATTGCACGCCAACTAAAACTCGCTAAATGCCCCCATGGAATGCTAATAGCGGGCGAATAATGAATAATCAGGCTTCATTTTTGCTCGTGTTATGAAATGAGCCACTGTCTAAACTCCTAGTATCCCCCTTAATAACCCCTATAGTAGCACCCCATTTTGTCCTATATATAACCCCCCTTTGCGGAGTTTAGACTATAACTCAAATTCTGGGCCGTGGCGGCCATCCAAGGCGCGAGAATTCCGCCCTTGTCCCCACCACCTACGACCTTCCAGCGCGAGGCGCCCGGCATAGCATCACACCAGGCAGTTTTCACTTAGGGTGTGGGTTTGTAGGTCTTAAGGTGTAGGTTAAGGGTTTAGGGTTTGGGGTGGTCTTATGTAGGGCTGGGTTTAGGCTCTACTGCTTCAGACGGGCAACTTTCCAGTGGCACACTGGCTTGCCTTGTTGAAAAGCATGGGGCTTTTGCCTCAACAAGCACAGCTCGAGTTAAAGAGATGTGGGTCCAGCAGCCCAAGAACGATGAATGTCTTCAATGGTATTACATACAAAACCTTACTGGGTATTCGTGTTAGCAGGGAATGAGGGATGGAGAAAAAATCCAAGTACTGTATTGTATACTATTCCGGATTAAATAGTGACTGCTGTAAGGATCCATTCCTTACTCACACCAATGAGAGGCTCAAGATTAACGAGTTGGCCATACGGCAAGGGTCTGCTTACGGATCTTCCTTGTAGCTACTGTGGTCATCTTGCCCAATCGGCACGCTTGATGATGAAGGCTGGCTTAAGCCATGATCCCCAATGACAGGGGGGTAGTCTTGGGCCCTATTCAAGGATATGCCCATGCTTCCATGTCAAAAACTCACTTCAATTTGATTCTCCATTATTATGGTGAAGTCCCTTTTGACATGGACTGCCACAACAAGACTAACAGAGCACGGACCCTCAGCACCCATGACTGCGGTCCACACTTCAATTAACCCTAAGCCTTAAATAACCCCTATATAGCCCCTATAACCCATACGTGTGCATTAAAAATATATCTATATATGTACACACGCAGGCATATCTTGCAGCCAGATAGATAGATTGCACATTTATGTATACATATACACATACTTCTATAATACCTAACTATATATGTACTTATACATATATATACTTATATACAACTATATATACAAACAAATATAAATATATATATGTACACTTATAAATATGTGTGTATATGTATATATATATATATTCTTCTTTTTGGCCTCGGCCGGCCTTCTAATTTGAGAAGCCTCCCAGATCTAAGGCTCATGGCCTGCTCTGATCTCATTCGGATGTCGACCCACACCCTTATATGTTGGGGATGTAGTTTTGGAGTTTAGAGGGTTTAGGACTTATGTGGATTTTGATGGTTTTTGGATTTATTGGTTTTTGTTAGGGGGGGGGTTAGGATTTTGGATTGATAGGGCTTAGGGCTTTATAGGGTTGATAGTGTAGTTGGGGGTTTATGGGGTTAGGAGTTATAGAATTTAGGGTGTATACGGTTTGGGCTTTAGTGTTTATCGGGTTCAGGGAGTGATTCCCTCAAAACCCCATCTGCCACACGCATCTCTTGGGTCTCTACAGGCGCCCGTTTTCAGAAGCTACCAGGGTTGTGCGGTTTAGGGTTTAGGCTTGGGGGTTTAGGAGAAGGGCTCTACACTAAGCACCCGATAGAAACAACTATATCATCCCGGTGTCCACTTCGCTTTCCATGGTCTTTTCCATCTGATATTCCACTTAACCCCAACCCCTTGAGATCCACAATCTTCTGCAGGCTTCTAAGATTGGAAGAGAGGCCCGTCCCTACAGAAGCCCCCCCACCAGCCCTGCTGCCGGTCTTTTGCTGTCTTCTGCCTGTGTTTCAGCATTTGCACCTCTGGTCTCCTCCGGGTGGCACCGTTCATGGGGGAGGCTGCTGGGGCAGTTCTCTGAGCAAGATACCACGCCCTTAAACTCTAAGCCCCTAAGGGTCCTTGCATAATTTGAATAAAGATAGCGCGCAAGACATCCTTCACAAAGGGAGCCCACCAACTATCCCTTGAAGTTGAGAACATACCTTCATTCATCATATGAGCTAGTCAGTCTCCTCCATAATAATTCCTATCGTCTCCTATATAACCGCTTAGATAACCCCGTTTGAGGTGTTTAGACTACAGCTTATATGGGATGGTCCGTAGCATCATTCTAGGTGATATAGGGGCCTAGATAAATCCAGAGGTCAGTTTGCAGTCTATGTCAGGACCCCTTCTAGACAAAGAACCTAGGACAATACTATTGTGCAGTATACTAAGGTCAAGAAGGATGCGTGGCATTGCCTGATCGAACCCTAGTTTCCATCTCACTTTCGTTGTGATTCTCTATTCTTGGGGTAACATCATAGCCCCAAACCCAATTTATCCCTTGTATACCCCTAGATACGTTACCACCCATATAGACCTTAAATAATCTATCACCCTGTAAACCCTAAAAGAGCCAGTAACATTCCCAACCAGCCAGAAGAGCTCTTATTTCAAAAGCCTCGCCCTAGGCTCTAAACCCTAAAACCTAAGCCCAAAAAGAGAAAACCTTACACCCCAAGCCCCAAACCCTAAACTAAACCCAATAAACCCTATAAACCCTCAACCCTAAGCCTCGCCCCAAGGACCCAACCTCCGGGCTGAGTTTGCAACACCTGGGATGCCACCGACTGTGTCATCTTTGACAGTTGGGGGCCTCAGCAACTGTAGCCTCACAGAGCTGAACTCTTCCTGAATTAGCTTGGTTGTCTTGGGGTTATATTGGGATAATGGAAAAGAAAATTAAATGGAAACTACCATAATGGGGCTATATAGGGTTAAGGGTTGGGGTTTAGGGGTTAGGGTTTTACAAACAACAAGGGTTTAGGGATTCGGGTTTAGGAATGAGGTTTCGGGTTCAGGGTTTAGCCTCCGAGCTGAACTCTTCCTGAACTGACTGGGGTTTAGGCTTACAAACCGCATGGGTCAAATGCGTATGTAAGGGGATAATAAGTATATTGGTGAAAGACACACGCTATGAATCCTGAATCTTGATCCGTTGCCCCTGAAGTTGCGCGGTATGGGTGCGTGGAGCCGTGAGGCACAAGAGCGGAAACACGAACAAGGGCATCAACACCAATCCTGATCAGAAACATGAACAAGGGCTTCAAGTCATGTTGATCGCTCCCCTGTTCCATGGAGGAGCCACGCACCCTAAACCTGGAACCCAAGGGCGAAAAACCCAGGACGCGAAGTGAAGGCTTCTGTCCTGAGCGACCTCCCTTAACTAAAGCAAAAACACCGCCCGAAAAATGGATGTTCCAACAGGATTCCTTTGTACAATGCATACGCGTGTGGGAGTCATATATAATCTATACGAGCATCAGAGGAGTAACTGATACGGAGATCAATACTTGAGAGTCCAGCTTCAGAGGACATGGCGGCAGCAACGGCCTTCACAGGATTTCTAGTGGACGCTGACGCTGCCAAGCAAAAGTGCAGTTGAGTTTATGACTGCAACTGTAAGACCTGAATTTGCCGCACAAGTGCGCGGCCAACAAAAATTGCTAGACCCAAGCGAAGGAAGGCGTGACTCCTCGCATCACATATCCTCCTTCGGCTGGCCGCATCATACGACCAGCGTGCCACAAGATCGAATTCTGCAGTTCCACTAAAGCCTGCCCTAGGAAATCTAGAGCTCTAGGACAGAAAACCCTAGGCTTGAATCCTATAGGGCCCGAGAAGCCCGAAACTCTATCGCCTAAGATGCTTTACAAGAGCTCGAGCTCTGCGTAGACAGGACGATGGTCACTTTGTGCTCTGTCGCCCTTACCTTGGCTGGGTTAGGGTTTAGGATTCCCCCAGGAGTTTTTTGTAAGGAACATAGTATAGCACCCGAGAAGGAACGACATTGGAGGATCTGGGTAGATTAAAAGTTTAGGGTTTAGGAGCTCTGCACATGTCAGTCAAGTTGAGGATGTCTGAGGTACTTGGATTCGTGTTCCTTTCTTGTTGGGATACAACGAAAACTCCTCATCCTTTCTTGGGCTTTGAAATGCTAAAAGATGAAGCATCTCAGAAATGATCCAGGGTTGAAGCAAAGACAAGCTCAAGGCCTGGTTGGGGCTTAGAGAATATCACGTCCTACCTGGCGAAGAGTGGCGCTACTATCCGACTGCTACATGAGAAACGCTTGTCACTTGCCAAACTGGTTTCTTGAAATTCAGATGTGGACTCTAAACCCCTTTTTTGAATGTGGACTTGAATAGGGGTACTGTAAATGTGTCACCTGTTCGCACTAAGTGCAGGTGAGGTGCCCTGGGCCACGAGGTTCCAGTGGCGCTCCGAATAGAAAATGGCATCCACCCACTCAACGATAGCCAGCTTAAAGCCATTTTGCAAGAAGTGCTGAGGCCCCCTCTCGTTCATGTTAGCGTTGAAGTCACCAGTCACCACCACAGGCGAATCTCCAGCCTTCTCGCGGATGACGTTCAGCATGTTCTTGGCCCCCGTGTAGCGCACGCCTTCGTTGCAGGTTCGGCCATTGCCGCTGGCCACGCACCAGTGGGTGTTGAAGATCCAGAATGTCCTCCCTGTGTCTCTGTCGGCAAGCTGGACATACGTGACGTGTCTGGGCCCCCACTTGCCTTACGTCTGCAAAGTTCACTGAAGAATGCATGCCTTTAGACCAAAGACTAAAGCAGCTTACAGACGCAAAGGAATGCCCTGGAACCCTAAACCTTAAAACCCAAAACCCTGAACCCTAAAACCCTAAAACCCTAAACCCTACAACATTCTGAAAAGCCCGTCTCCAGACTTGCTCCTTCTTTGTACACTCGTGGGTACTACCCCCCTCCCAAAAAAAAAACATAGATTTTAGGGTTTAGGGCTTCCTTGTACAATCATGGGGACTACCCCCTCCCCCCTCGCAAAGGGACGCACAGTTTAGAAAAGAGTTCTACACGCTGCCCGCTCAGGATCTACATAATTTCTGTACGATATCCCTAAACCTTCCCCCACAAGTACATACTTAGTATTCGTGACCCTAAGCTTGTGGGACTTAAGGCGCGCGAAATCCCTCAGTCCCTTAACCCTACGCCCAATCCCAAATCTCCGCCCTCAAAGCCCAAACCTTCCCCCAAAACGCACATGAGCTACTGTCAATATCTCCTACCCAATTTAATGTACATGGGTTCCGTATTAGGGACCATGTTAGGGACTATTCTACACTGGAATGTTGCAAAACAGCTTTACGTTTTTGTTGGTGAAAATTGAGCCAAAAAAACGCTTGTTCTGCAGTACCTGAATACCTACCAAAAAAGAAGATATTCCATACACAATTCTAACCCTCAAGCCCTGAAACTTAAAACCCTAAACCCCTAATCCCTAAACCCTTAAAACCTAATCCCCAATCCCCAAACCCTTAAATCAGCCAAGTATTGACAGTAGCTCATATAATCCCAACCCTCCAAGCCCAGGAGCCTGTGGCCCGCAGATCCTCGGAGCCCGAAGTGCCGGGGACCGCCCGCAGCCGGGCCGGATCCATCCTGGCATTTCTTCAGTTTTTTTGGTTGTTTTTTGTTTGGAGGGTCTAGGATAGTTTGATATAAAGGGAATAGGAAAAATCATGGAAACTATATGATTTAGGCTGTGGGCTGTAGTTTTAGTAAACTCTAGTATCACCTGTGCTGGATCTAGATTTATCTAGGGCGGCCAAAATTGGAAACCCAATACATACACTCACCGACATCATGGAGGAACTCTATATACACTTACCAAAAACCCAATTAAAACCCTACTTCAATCTCAACATCTAAACATACAAACATACATCCCTCTAGAACCCTGTCAACTCCCAAGCCCTGAACCCATCCCCTCCCAAACGCCTCAAAATCCTAAACCCCTGAACGAACCCTAAACGCTAAAACCCTAAACCCGAAAACCCCTTAAATCCTAACAGGCCCAGCGGCATCACACCCTGAGCTCCGGCGAAGCGAGAAGCCCGAGCCAGGCCGGTCGAGTCCTGGAAAGTAAGAGCCCTTAGAAGACAGCTATACGAAGTAAAAAGGGGCATAAAGTTTAAGGCTTAATGGAGTCTAAGAGTTTAGAATCTAAGATTTCGGTTCGGGGTTTAGGGGGGCCTAAGCTTTGGGGCTTAAGGTTCGGGGTTCAAGGTTCAGGGCTCAGGGTTTAGGAGTCAGGGCTTCAACTGTGCCTGCAGCACTTTTCAGAGGGTGGTGGTTTGAGGTTCAAGAAAATGTTTAAGCCTCAGGCCTTTTGTAGGTTCGGGGTAAAGGTCATAGGGAGTTTTCATACTGGACTCCCACAGGGATCCGTTCCCTCATTCCTACCAGGCATCAGGTATTTGACTCTCGGATCCCCAAACAAGCCTTCGCCAGACAACTGTCTTTTTTGAGGAGCTATACAGGTGGCAAGTTCTGTATATAGATGTGTATGCAAATGTAGATGTAGAGATACGTATATATATATATATACGTGTATATGTAGTGAAAGCACGAGGAGTTAACAAGAACGGCCATGCGGATGCGATGCAGTCGCACTGCCATGACCTGTCAGCATGGTAGTAAGCACAGGAACAATGCCTCTTCATAGATCGGAATAACATAGCCATGCTCTACGTCCATATCCATTCCGAATTCTACAGAGTGCTGACCCTGGACAGTCCTGGATCCTGGAGGGAGAGTCACACTCCTGCAGTCCGATGGCATCTGGCACCAGCTTGTTGTTGATGTTGGCGATGATCTGCTCACCTGAGTGCAAGGGGGTCCCCAAGACAGGTAATACACAAGCAACAACAACGACAACCTTAAACCCCAAACCCCTAAACCAATAGTAAGGATCTTGAGGGTAGTGGCAAAGAAGCTGTAAGAAATGGACACACAAGTGGTAGTTCTTGAACCAGTGGTTCGTGTTTCCCCAAGACTATGCATCTGTAATGCCTTGCAGCCACAGAAGGGACCCTGAACTTTAGGAAGTCGCCAGCCTTATAACAACGGAAGGGGCATCTCGAAACTAAACACTCCAGGGTTCAGATGAAGGTTGCCCATAGACATGACGCTCACCTGCCTTTTTTTCCGTCGAGTCACTTAAACAAAGAACTTTACCTCCCATGTGGCACATTTTCCATCTCAGAATTCCCCCTTATTACAAGTGGGCAGCAGAAAATCAAGAATAGAGGGCCCCCTTTTGGGAGGGTTCCTTCATTTCTGAGGGCGTGTGGGATAACCCCAATACTACTCCAAGATAACCCCAATATAAGCCATCATCAACCCTGAAGAACTTTCAACCTTCAAGTTGTCAGCGCCCGACCCTGAAGCCTATAAGCTTTCAGCCCTCAACCTAAACCCTGAACCCTAAACCCACAAACCCTTAACCCGAAACCATGATCTTGACTATCGAGTTGCTCTTCCACGGGTTCTGGTCGAAGGCATTCCACCAGTAGATGTTGTAGGAGACGACCTGACACCGAAGGTTTCTACAACCAGTCGGGGCTTGAGGCCAGTTTGACCATATAATGTCTGCGAGCTTTGGGCTTCTTAAAACAGGAGGTCTTTAGCACGTCGCTGCAACGAATGTACCCTGAAGCCTATCATTGCTGCACAGGTTCTCTCTACTATGTGAGCTATAGTCTACATCTTAAACCCATCACGGTAGACCGTCAAGATTATGCTCATTTCCTGGGGCCTCCTGCAAGTTTGGCCCTTTTCTACCTAACAAAGGGACCAACATCTTCACAACCCTAAACCCTGAAACCTAAAATCTGAAACCTAAACCCTTGAAACTGCGCGTCAAAAGCCCAAGGGCCCTCAGCTTGAAATAGCCGCTGCCACTGCCACCCGTTCCCGCGGGAGCTGTGGTGGTGGCGGCACACGATGTCTTGAAGTACGTCCTGAAGGCACCCTAAACCCTATAAACCCTAAACCCTAAACCCTAAACCCTGAAGGCAAGGTTTCAGGCCCTCGATCTTGGTCATGACCTGCTAGGAGGCCCATGTTATGTAACCCTATATACTTAAGGTTCAGGGTTTAGGGTATAGCTCCTATATAACCCTACATAACCCTATATACTCTATAGTAGGCCTATATAAACACATGCAGGGGCTTACATGCCACTTTAGGGTTTTTAGCCGGGTATAAAGTTAGGTCAGGCTTGCGGCGCTGAGCTAAGCAGGGGCATGTCTGGGTATTCCGACGGCATATCCTTGTGTCAGCTGATGATGCAGGAGGTATCTCTTGCGGGGTGTGTAGGGAACTTCTTGAAACTTGAAATCAGGGCTTATACACCTTTAAAGCGGCATGACCAAGTTGCTGAACCACCTAGCTGCTCAAGTCCCGGGGCCTCAGGGTGTCAAACCTTCGCTTTCTAGCAGCAGGGTTCTGGAAAACCACAAAGCTTGCAGAGAGTTCAGGCAAGTGCGAAGATCAGAATTGGACCTGAAGTCGTTGGATGGGACAAACAGCTCTCAACCCGAACACCTGACTGGTGGGCAAGAAGCCCCAACCCCTTAATGGCCCACCTTTCGCTCACGCCTGGGCAACCGGAACCTTTTGGGCAACTGGAACCTCAAAGAAGTATAAAACAGAGCCAGTGAAAAACTGAACCCCCTTCCCTTGGTGCTAGGGTACGCAAGCATTTACATGGCACTTGTAGGATTCGCGAGCATCAGATGAGTTAATCGAAAAGCCGACACGTACCTTGACCCATAGAAATTGATCGCCAAAGCTTCTGTTGATGGAAATGATTATGCATAACTGCATAACCCTGATGTAAACCACAGCAGCACAGTTCCTAGGGCCTACATATACAAGGCCATGCGGGGTTCGTCCATCCATCTAGACCTCAAACCCTGAACCCCTAAACCCTAAAACCCTAAACCCTAAACCCAAAACCCAAAAATCCTGTGGGTCCTGCAGGACCCCTTCGTTTGGGTGGGCTCCCCTCCAGAGAAGCTGCGAGACTTCATCCAGCAGCCCCACTCCCTACCTGCATGTGCAAACTTGCTGGGACTCACCCGTTTTGGCAACTCTTAATGTGATAGAACGTAATAATGCAAAGCATTGTAAAACAAGATAAAGCAAAGACATTACATGGAACTTCATGCTATTCATAAATACACGTATGGGTATATGAATAATGCACTGTAACATAATGCGCTACAAAGTTATGTAGACAAACGTTTACAACATTTAAAAATGTGGACAGCTTAACGCTGATCCTTAAACCTTACGCTTAAGCCTCGGTGTGGGAAACATCCATGCCCAAAACCACAATCCTTGGACTTGTTTTTACAACTCCTTGGTCTTGGGGTCTAGGGTTTAGGGTTTAGGTTTTAGGGTCTTCATGGCTTTAACGCTCCAAGCGAGCTGCTAAGCTCAAAGGATGTGAAAGCCTCAAATGTGCTGGGTTAAGGGCTTTTGTACGGCTTATTCCGGGCTGATTTGCTGAACTATAAGCCCTAAACCCTAAATGACAGAAAGCCTGTCGCGCCCATCAGAAGGTAAGCCCGAAGCCCTGGCCCCGTCAGAGTTGATGCGATCACCGTCTTGAAGCTCCTTCAGTCCCTCACAACCTTCACAGTATACACTCCTGGAAACTAACATGGAAACCCCAAAGGGGCCCCATAAATACGACAGTCCTTCTAAAATGGGGCTGTCTGGGTTTCCATGTTAGTTTGGGGGAGTGTACTTGACCATGGAACGCCATATTGAACGTGTTTGAGGACGGTAATCTTTCTATGGCCCCCTTTTCGTCTGGGCTCCATGCCATGTTAGTTCCAGGAAGAGTGATGCTTTACGTTAACCCTAAACCCTTTTGCCCAAACCCTAAGTTGCCTTATACGGCCACTGCATGCACTGCAGAGATGGCTATCAGGTGACTAGTGATTTTGGTGAATCAAGGAGATTTTTGTTTCATACAGAAGCTACTCAAAACCCCCGAAAACCATATTACTCAGAAACCTTGAACCCTAAACCCGAATCCGTAAACCCTAACCACCTAATCCCTAAACTATATTCCCACTACCTTATATAAATCTGATATAACCCCAATTACCCCCTTAAAGGTAACCCCAATTACCCCCTTAAAGGGGAATATGCTACACAGATGAGTAGCAGAAGGAGATACTGTTGCACTCCGCATTCTCGCTGCAGCCGCGCTGGCACTCCGACAAAGATCTCGTGTCAACCCTGGGTCTACAATTTGGTTTAAGGTGTAAAAGTTTAGGGTTTAGGGGTTTAGGGGTTTAGGGTTTGGGGGGTTAGGGCTTTAGGGTTTAGGGGTTGAAAGTTTAGCGTTTAAAAGTTTAGGGGTTTAGGGGGTTAGGGTTCAGGGGTTTAGGGTTTAGGAGGTTAGGGTTTAGGGGTTTAGGGCTTCAGGTTTAAGGTGTTTGGGATGATGTCTGGGCCCTGAAGTCATTACATGGGAACCCCTGTGGGCCTTAAGTATATGCTGTACAGCTACACGGACGCTTTGGGGAAGTTTGGGTTTGATGGTTGATAGTTTTGGGGCCGGAGGTTTAGGGGTGTAGAGTTCGCAGCTTCAGAACCTGGGGGGCTATAGTTCGGGGCCGGAGGTCTAATGGTTTACGGTTTGAGGCCCAGGGCTTAGGATTCAAGACCTCAACGCTTGCAGCGCATGAGGTGTAGAGTTTTGACTCCCAGTCTTGCTAACAAGGATTCTTACATATGGTTACATAAAACACGGAGCCCCTGCTTTCAGCAAACAAGGTCTATGGAAATGTGCCCATGACTTCAAACCTCTCATTCATACTTACAGTTTTTGGCAAACTCCTGCATTTGAGAAATTGTAACAGAGATAAATGGCTACTTGGCTGCCAGCCACAGTCTGCCAAGTTTCTCGCCGACGGCGCCGCCCTCGTCCTCTGCCAGGCCAGAAAGCTCCGCATAGCCTAAGCTTTTGGGTTGAAGGTTTAGGGTTTAGGTTAGGGTTTAGGGTTGAGGGATTAGGGTTGAGGGTTTAAGGTTTAGGATTTGGGGTTTAGGATTTAAGGTTTAGGATTCAGGGTCTAGGATTTAGGGTCTCGGGTTTAGGGTATTTATCTAGGGCGCAGGCTTATAGGTCAAGGTCTAGAGGCTAGGATCAGGATTTAGGGCTACAGGGGCCCAGCAGTGGAAGGGGCAGAGTGTAGGGGGCCGATCTACCTAGAATACTGTTCGGCAAGATCATGAGGAAGTCGTACATGCGTTATAAGGTTAGAATATTCGTGGTCCCACCCCGATTAGTGAAACTCCCTACCCTGGATGATATTGAGCGTTCGCATTGTGCAGTACTGTAATAAACCAGGCATACTGAGAATCTGGGTTCGTGTTGAAATACTATCTAAAATGATCATGTCTGATCTATTCGGGCCCAGGTAAACATAAACATGTAAAAGGTTGTTCAACAAGAACTCAGGGGGGTGGGGGTGATTAACCCCCACACCCAAAACCCTAACTCCGAGGGGGGTGGGGGAGGAGGGTTCATGATGATGGGACGTGATCAACCATTCGGACTTCTTGCGTTTAGGCTTAGGTAGCTTAAAAGGGGTTTATAGAGGACATATAGGGTTACATGAAAGTCCTAGGAGCCCCATGAAGCTAAATTCTAAAGTACAATGGCCGTCCCAAGCTCTGAACCTCAAAGCCCTGAACTCCGTCACCCTAAAAATCAGCAGCTTAAGACTCTAAACTGAAAGTCCTGTCACAAAAGCCCTACTTAAGCAACATCCTCAACGACTTTAGCCTAACCTAGCCTGGAGGCAAGTAGACTCTGCCGGGGGTGGCGGAGGGCTCGGATTGCCATCCTGGTTAGGTTTCAGACTGCTAGGATTTTAGCGTGGCTTCAGACTTGACCTGTCTGGAGTTTCAAGGGTCTAAGAGCCTGCTCTTGAATGCGAAGACCGTTTGGGCCCGTGGGCAGATCCAGGCAGGGTTTAAGTACGGAACTTAATTAGGGACTACTACAGCGATCCGTTCCTTCATTCCCTAATTATTGAGCAGTGAGCAGGCTAGGGTTAGGGCTTCGGGTCAGGGTTTATATTGGGTTTAGGGTTCATATACTTTTTAGGGCTAGTCCGGCAACTACGGTTTGCGCGGAAAGCCTACCTGGACCCCCAACATCTAGCGAATAATTGGCCTCTTGGCTATGTTTCAAGGTTTTGGGCCAGGATTCACTTACTTTTGGGGCTACAGTTCAGATGAGTCCCCGAAAGCATTTTTCCTGATGATACCACAAATGCCCCACAAGTTTTATCAACCTAGCCAATTTATCATCATGCAACCCGCGTTTCAATGACTCCCAAAGGCCTTCGATATCTTTCGCAGGGCTGATGCAGGTAAGGAAGTATGAAGGTCAGCTTTGAGAGCAGAAGCAGCAAGAGCAGCAAAAGCAGGAGGAGCGGAGAGGAGAAGGCTGAGAGCCATAAAAGCAACAAGATGATTACCTCTCAAATGTGTGGCAAAGGGCACTTGTGGTAACCCCTCAGACATGAATCCCATGATATGATATAGTTCCAGCGGATCTACGCCAGTCCATTAAGGGTAAGAACTTTTTTTGACTGAAGCCTGCCTCACCACGCTCGCAAGTGCAGAGGATGTCTGAAGTTCCCGAGATAGCCTCCCGGAGCATGATTGCTATGAGGGCCTCTCAGATTCTTGGGTTCCGTTCTCGTGGGGGTCCTTACATTTTGGGATGTAGCCCGGACCGGACTTTGACAAATTCCCCTCTCAGACTGCGACACAATCAGAGTGCTATATGCCCTTTAACCCATGTATACCTTGTTAAAGACCTAACAAGATCTTCAATTGCGAAGATCCCGCAATGGGCATGCACTGTTGAGAAGCCCGACTTAGACGGCATAGGTGGGAAATCTGAAAAATGCCTCAGCACCTAAGGACACAACATTTAGGTTCTTCCCCCTGACAGCAACCATCACCACAGCAGGTACTAGGAGTTATGATAGACCCTAAATACAGCCTAAACACGGAACATTTGGGGACAGTCACTATAACGATAAGAGGAGTGACCCAATGGATAATGCCTTCGAAAATCGTGATGAAGACTTTTAGGGGCTAAAAGCCCACACTTGCATGCACCTTTCCCGACTCTCTGATAACATATCAAGCGGACCTCCAGTTGCAAAGGAACCCTTAGTTGCCGGAAAATGGCAGTCCAAGCTTGACACGGGATCTCCGCAAAAAAAGAAAAAAGACAGAGATCGCCGAATACCTTTGAATTAAAGGATATACCCTAAATTCTATGGGGATCTACGGTTTCAGCCCTATTCCTAAGGGGTACTGGGCTCCAAGGTAGCTGGAGACCCCAGATCGATCCCTCGATCCTAGATCCTATATTGAAAGGGCTTCTCAAAATGGACGCTTTCTGGAAATGCTCGTATGGTCTTTTTTAAAAAAGCCTACCCAGCTAACCCTGGGCATACATGGGGGCCATCTAGACCTTTGTCTCTAGTATTTCTTTCCATAACATTAGGTGGCACAAGAAGGAGGTCTCAGTGGGTGCTGGACCCGCTCAATGCTTACTTCTCAAGGCAAGCAGCCCCTCTGCATACCTCTTGGCATCAGGTAGATCCCATCACCCATCACGCTAAGCTGTTCATGTAAATGCCCCCAAGCTCTCAACCAAGCCAATCGCAGATGGTTTTCTGTATGGCCCAACATTGGGGTGAGGTTGGGATAGGTATTCATTAGCAGCCCGTAGAGCCCTTGATAGCTTGTGCACCCCTGGCGCCTCGTCACAACGCTTCTCCTCCTTGACCTGGTAGCGACGTGTTAGTCATTGCTGTCATGCAGGATGACATAAGCCTCGTCCCCGATATCGTATGAGCATTCAATACCTGCTGTCATTCCGTGCTAGGCAAAGACTTAAAGGTTGAGAGCAGGTGGCTGTGGGGCCT